CTTAACAGCAACCCAGTAATTACGGATGTCTTGAGGGCCCGTCGGTTCTGGCTTGCTGTCGTCAATCATGCCATCCTTCTTCCACTGGCGGATGTATGCCTAACGAGCCATGGGCCAAAAGGTCGCGTTGCTGATAAGGAACTTAAAATTACATTACCAGGATAGGGACATAGTGTAAATAGTAGGGTTTACTCACCATAGCAACTGAATTTGAATTCCTTAGCAACAAAGCCGCCAACAGGTCTAGAATTCCTAGAGCCTTGTGCGCGCCTCCCATTCGGCTTTGCATTCTGCCAGGAATATCTTCAGAGGATGTCTTTGTTGTTGCTTGATGTGCTTCATCCTGGCAATGCTTCTCAGGAAGCAGGGCTTCGTGCAAAGATGCTCATTCACCAACCCATGTTTCGGGGCCCGCACGAGCCAGCAATGGCCAACTCCGCACCCAACATGGGCACAATGTTCATGGCAGTGAAGGTTGGCATCAAGTGTCTTGCACCCGGCACGTAGGCAGGCTGATCGGGACTGGGCCGCAGCTTGGGGAGAATGCCCCTTACAATCTCGAAGTCGGAGGGATAATCCACGAACCATCGGAAGATTCGGACCTCGGAACCGTAAACCCTAAAAATCCTAAACCGTATAGTCCCCCTTGAGTAGATAGAATATGGAGTATATTGGGATCTTATTTAATATATCCACAGCCATATTCTATCTACTTCAGGGGGACTATAAGCCCTCATAATCCATATATATTCCCCTAGTTTCCATTTCATGTTCCATTTTCTTTTCCATTTGATTCTCCATCCCTAAATAGTAGTTTCCCTTTTCTTTTCCATTATCCCAATATATCCCCGAAATTGCCCCAATGCATACCTACATCCCGCTTTGTAAGCCCTCAACTGACAGCATCAGGGCATCCTAAACCCTAAACCCTAAATCCTTGGCGAGCGGCAGAGCTGACGAAGGATGGTCCCGAGCTAAAGCTGCCGAAGTTCTGAGCTTCAACGAACATTCCTCGGCCATAGAGCTAAAGTCCCCCTGAAGTAGATAGAATGCGGCTTTGGGTATATTATAAAAAGATCCCCATATACCCCATATTCTATCTACTTAAGGGGGACTATAGGGTTTGGGGTTCAGGTCTTAGGGTCGGGGGTCTGGGGTTGGGGTTTGGGGGTAGGACAAAGGAAAATCCGATGGCAAAGAAATGGTCAATGAAATGGAAACAGGAGACATTCTAGGTGTGTCCCAAAATTAGGGTCCCTTTTTAAGGTATACGGTATTATACCCATGGCAAGTATATTCATATAGTGGTATGTATTCTTGGGTCCCTCAATTCATGGAAACTATCAAACACGGAGTTTTCTTCACCAAGACCTCTTCCTCCGGTTCGGTTGGAATGTCGTACTGGGAATTTGATAGTTTGCAACCCCACAACATCAATGTGCCAAGAAAGCGGCCGTTGCAGCATACTGGACGCAACGGGTCCCCGTTGACCCATAAGCCCACCAACTCCTCAAACGCAAGTTCATGGACAGAACACTCACGCCTTCTGCACACCAAAGAAAACTGCGGGCAGCCGGCATCTCCAAAACAGAAATGCGTTCCGTTCCGACTTACTCTTAATAGTACTGTTGCTATGGCTACTACTGCTACGGCTAATGTTACCATTACTGTCACTCTGCTTATTACTAATACTATTACGGCTATTCTTACTTTTATACTAGTATTGTTACTGTAATTTCTGTAAGTTTGGCTGACCCCACAGCATGCAATCCGGAAAACCTGGACAAGTCTGTAGAACATCTTTCATCATGTATACTACATTACCCCTATATAACCCCTATATAATCCCTACATTACCCCTATATAACCTACACCCTAAACCCTAAACCCTAAAGCCCTTTCATCATGTAGTGCGATGTACATCGCTCGGGGCTGCGTCCTTCAACCCCAGCATCTTGTCCTTTTGAGGATCTGGAGTGACTCCCACCTTGGAGGGTTTAGGGTTTAAGGTTGAGGCATAGAGTTTAGGGTTTAGGGTTTAGGGTTTAGGCATAGCGTTTAGGGCTTAGGATTTAGGAATCAGGGTTTAGGGTTTAGAGTTGGTCCCAGTTTCCATGTCATGTTCTTTTTTATCATGTGATTCTCCATCAGAGGGGATCATATCCCTATGACCCTGTATCATCCCTATATAAGCCCCGTAAAACCCTATATAACCCCTATATGATCTCCATATCAGGAACCCCAAAGGTAATGCAGACTTGAACTCCCCTCTCGATTCACCAGGTTCCTGGCTGCTTTCAGGATAACCTGGCACTTTATCTTCTTGCCCTTCTTGGTCTGAGCACCTAAGTTGGCAACAGTAGTAGTCGTAGTCGTAATCCTAGTAGTAGTAGTAGTAGTAGTAGTAGTTGTTGTTGTTGTTGTTGTAGTTGTTGTTGTCGTCGTAGTAATGGCAATAGTAATAGCAGCAGCGCGTAACACAAGCTGACCGACCGGCTGTGATAGAATGGCAATACTAGCGAAGTGATAGCAATAGAGACAGCAACCATAATAGTAATAGGAAGCAAGACATGAATAGTAATAGCTATAGCTATAGGAACTGTAATTGCAATAATAAGTTGGCTCCGTCATGTTCATGGTAAGCCGCATCCATTTGTCAGGCGCTTGATTTCGTCCACCAGGACCTCCATGAGCCCGTAGTAGCCAGCCAGGAAATAGACATCGGTCACCTAATCTTAACTTGGCGGTCAGGCTCTGATTCCTAAACTTTGACTCGGAAACTTTGCCCTTTGGTTCGGAAACCAAGCGAATTCGGAAATCAAAAGCCTTGAATGAGAAACCTTCACACCCTGATTCCCAAAGCAACCTGATTCAGAAGCCAAAAACATTGATTCGGAATCGGTCAACCCCTGATGCGGAAACTTTCAATCCCTGATTCAGGCAAATTCCTCATGAGGAAGAATAGAGGAGTCTGGGTTATGATTCGGAGTCTCAAGTTTACCACCCTCCCCCATTCCCCCCTCACCCCGCCACCCGATCTCTGGGTAGCAAGTCTGGGTTGTTGCAGTGATTACTGTGGGGGTTTAGTAGGAATATAGTATGTAGGCATTATAGAATACTATGGGGATGATATGGGGGTTCTGTAGGGATTACTCTCGGTAATTCGTGATAGTGTCCACGTGAAGGATTGAACGTGTCCCAGTCGTGCATTGAAAGTTTCCGATTCGGGGGGGCAAAGGTTTCTGCATCAGTGATCCATTTTCTCAATCGGGGATAGAAAGTTTCCGAACCAAACTCCAAACCCCTAACCCTAAATCCTAAACCCTTAACCCTAAACCGTGCTGAATCAGGCTTTTCTTTGGCTTGATTGTGATTCTGGGGCTTGCAGGAACGAATCCCTCAAACAAAGGAGCTAAATAGTCAAAATGTCCATTCCTCAAATATTTATTGGGTAATATTAGGGCTATATTGGGGTTATGTGGGGATAATGGAGAATAAAATGGAAACGACTATAACGGGTTATATAGAGTTTATATAGTGCCTACTGACGACCGGGGTGAAACCACAATTGCCGAACTCTAATTAATGTGGCAGATCATGTCCTTTACCATTCCTTCATTCTCTACTAACCACCAGCAAGTTAGGCACGCACTCGGATCATGCGTAGGCTTTCCTTCAAAGCACAATGGATAGCCACCAAGTGGCACCGAAGGCGGTTCTTTGTGAGATCTGTGCATAGCTGCGCTTTTCATCTGTCTTGACCTACAGCAGCGGCTGAAATCACAATCGCACACTAAAACTGTGTCAGAGTGGTCTCGTTGAAAATCGTGTCTTACTAATTTAATCTCATACATGTAAGCACTGGGCACAATGGGCAGACCAGCAATCGAAGCCTGCGGGCCAAGGAAGGTATTTCACGGCGTGGTCGTGCATGAAGACTCTGAACACTCAAGATGCAGCAACTTGCAACAGCCACCAGCCAGTGTGAAGAAGCTGGCCTACAAGGTCGTACATCTTCTGGAAGCCCTGTCATACTGAGCTTGATAGGTCGCAGCTGCAATGCTGACGTCAACATCCCGTCCTCGAGCAAGATGGGGCCAGGCACCGGGTTCTCTAGGTAACCCACCAGCCAAGACATCACTCTCATCCCACAAAGGTTGCCTGGGCTTGGCAGGGGCTGGAAATCTGCAAGTACAGATCTAGGGCTGCTACAGTTGTTACAGGACATCGAGCTCGGCAACCCAAAAACAAAGACACAGCCCTACACGTCCCTCTCACTGCAGAAGCCTAAAAGCTCTAAGTGAGCCAGGGAACGCTTGCGGCACATGACGACCACCTTCTTGCATCGGTGCTCGCAGAGTGTTCGGACCTCAGTCATTATGGAGCAAACCGAAGCTATACCGTTTGCTTTGTTTCCTCAGAGTTCCCCCTGCTCCTGCTCCACCGATTCCTCTTGCAATTACTCTTGCAAGTACTATTACTGTACTCTTCTCCTTCTTGTTATTCTTCTTCATCATCTTCCCAAGCTAGCGTCCCTCCAGTTCACATCCGTCTCATATGCTACTTTAAAAAGCCTAGCTTAGCCAAGGAGGTTCCTGATCTCACTCCCCTAAGCCATACCTTACTGGTGGTAGGGGACAAGAAAATGTAACCCATGTATAATCCATATATACTGTATACTACACCCCTGTTCCCTACCCTCAGCCCCAAACCCTAAACCCTAAACCCCAAACCCTAAACCCTAAACCCTATACCCTGAACCAACAACGTTAACTTCCCTTCCCCAGATTTGCCCACATGTTCCCGTTCACCGGAGGTCCTGAGCCAATCGGAAATCGCCCCGTTACCCAGCAGCACAATGCAAAACAGCACGTGATGTGCTACAACGTTCTCGTAGTCAGCTTGGAACCGCACGTTCTCGATCGTGAACGCTCCATGACCGTACAGAATGCACACCTTTCCTTCAGCTTCCCGATAGTCAACCTGAGAAACAGGAAGGGCATTCCAAAGTCAGCACTTCAGAGCTCTTCATGCGCAGGCAGGAATTCTGGAATGCTTAACAAGCCACTAAAGAGAAGGAGGCATAAGCAATGTAGCCGCCAAAGTCATCCTCTCCCGGCCACTCAAGCCTAGCATGGAGTGGCGTGGCACTCTAAGCTAATCTGAAGAACAACACCACAGCAGGACAAGCATGCTGTGCAACATGTATCAGTCCAATCTTGGCCAGTTGCTCGCGGTATTTGCACAGATTACCAGGCCAAGTGATGACGGCTGAAGCTATGATGAGTTCCTGAAGAGCAGCAAATGCCAAAGATATTTGCCAAGAAATATGCTTAAATTCATCCATATACCATCCCAGTTTCCATGTCATGTTCTATGATATTGTTGACGTTTGATTCTTTATGTTTTGGTATATATCCCTAAACCCTGAACCCTATAAATCAACGAGAGCCTGCGTCGTTCAACAGGTGAAACACCTAAATTCATGTTGGCACCTGGAATAAGGAATCAAACGCAATAACTAGTAGCATATGATCCTATATAGTCTTTATATGATCTGTATCATCCCTATATACTCCTCCCCATATGAGCAAAAGCCTCAACCCCTATGGTAGTCCCCTATATACTCCCCTGTAAAGCCCCCCTTTCAGGAGTGTAGACTAAAGCCTATAGCTCATCTACCACCCCTCCCCCCATATCCCTAAGGACCTTATATTCCACCCTAAACCCTAAACCCTACACCCTGTCCCCAAGGACCTTATGTTCCTCCTGAATGCAGATACCGCCGAGGCACTCCCTCCGCATCCTCGCTATTGGATGGAAAGGTGTAGACACCATAGCCTTGGAGCTTAGGGTTTAGGGTCATTATTCTTGGCCTCATCCTTATTATTTCTCTTGCGCAATATCATGTTCAGCTTTTCGTGGTAGCATTTCTCTTGTTATTGTTCATAGTAGTGAACGTAATATCTTGTTTTTTCTTGCAGATCCTCGAACTTCGCGAAAACCTGCTTGCAGCAAGCAGTCACTACCATCTGAAAGACCATAAACCCTAGACCCTTAACCCTTAACCCCATATAACCCATTACACTAATTCCCATGTTCTTTTCCATTATCCCCATATAACCCCAATATAACCTCCCTATATCCCCTAAACCAAGCAAGCAAGCAGCCACTACCATCTGGAAGAGGCCGAATCTTCTCCACGTGCGTGTTGAATTTGGTCATGGGCCCTGAGCAGCTCGTAGGCATTGGCACCAAGGGGGGGTTTCCTAAAATTAGGGGTACCCTTTTGGGGGTCCCTATAATAAGGGCTATAGTATATTGGGGTCTATATTGGGGTATTCTAATTTTCGGGAAACTCCTAGAGGCTTCAGCAGCTGAGGGCACGTTCCCTGCACGCATGCAGCGCCAACTGAGGAGTCTGCCAAGCTCATGAATCCTGAAGACCATGGAACTGCAGCATATGCGACGGCACACATCTACAAATGGGTGGTTGTGAAAATTATGGTCCCTTTTGGGATCCCTATTATAGTACGGCACCTAATATTTAGGGTACCCAGAAAGGGACCATAATTTTGACAACCACCCAAATCTTCCCAAAGCTAAGCTGATGTTTCCTGGCCGCTTCTCTGAACATCTTCAGAAGTTGATCTCTTGTCGGCCAGGTCCTGGGCTTGCAAAGAGAGGAGATGGATCCCTGTAGAAGTCTACGCGTAACCCCCTCTTCAGAGCCCTCAAAACTGATCCACTGGTTTTTTTCCTGAAGCCAGCATGATTAAGAGGGCAAGCTTCTTGTATGCGTCCCCTTCCACATCTGTCGTGGCAGGAGTGTCCGGCAACATGAAGTCAACATGGTAATTTCCACTTTCCGTTTGGAGCTTGGTGTACTTGTTGGACACCACCTCAGGCTATACAGATCCACGCACCTTTCATGTGCAAACCATGCTATGTGATTATATAAGTTGGGGGGGTACATGGAGCCATCTGGCGGCTACCTGACTGGTAAGGGGCTCGCAAGCCACGAGTGACCGCCGAAAGCTCCGAGTCTTTCCAGGCAAATGAGGTCCTGCAAGTCTGTCCAAGGCATGATGAGTCACTGCAGATCAGTTGAAGGCCGGCATGTGAGCTATAGTCTAAACTCCTAGTATCCCCCTTAATAAGCCCCTAATGGGATCCCCCTCTTTAAGGAGTTTAGGCTAAAGCTCATGTCACCTTGCGTCCAGCTTTCTTAAAGCTGATCATTGTCTGCATGCCACCAAGGCCAGCCCCGATGACCTTCGCAGGCTTCAGGGTTAAGCGTTTAGGGCTTATGCTTTGAGATTGGGGAAAAGTAATGTTAATAAGAATCTTGCTGTTAAGAAATGGGTTACTATGAATATTCATATGAATAAACATCAAGATGTGAATCACAATGATAACAATACTACCAATGATAACATTAATAGCCTAACACTAATAGCTCCGGTGGATACTAAAAATCCTGCATGACTCTAAGTACCCTAAACCTTGGGAATAATGGTACTATAGTATACTTAGGTCATGCAGGATTTTTAGTATCAACAGCTCGAACTTGGAAACAGAAAGCAAGCCAAGCTCAGCACGACGATCGGGTGTGGGTACTGCTGGACTGGCCTCTGAAAGCCTCGACTGTGCACCACTCAGCTTCAGTAATCAACAGACCCTAAACCCCAAACCCCACCCCAATATACCGTAATCCTTATTATGGCGACCCCCTAAAAAAAAAGGAACCCCTAATTTTGGGAAATCCCCATATCCCTAAACCCTATACCCTAAATAGTAGTTTCCATTTTATTTTCCACTATCCATATATAACCCCAATATAACCCTATTGCACCCAAGCCGCTCGGCACTCCGAGTGCAACAACCTTGCTTGCAACTTCATCGGACAGCCTTTGCTTCGCTGCAAAGACTCCCACCTCGCCGGGTTGGTTAGGGTTTAGGGTTTGGGGTTTAGGGTTTAGGGGGGGAATAAAGAAGTTGAATAAGGGCATATGGGGTTTATGTAAGGATTCGAGTGGTTATATGCGAATGATAAGCTTCGTTCTGAAGGTCCGTTTAAAGGAGGGACTGTTGGGAATACACTTCTTTCAAGGGAGATCATAGCTGAAAACAGAACCTGCCTTCTGGCCATTTTGGGGACAGGTGTTCTGAACATATAAACAACGCGATCACATGTTCAGCCTTCTTGGAAAACGATAGTACATTCACGGAATTCAGGAAACGACTTGCTCTGAAAGAAGCCCGAGAAAGGAAACAAAAACAAGTCATGTAAGCCACGTGAAAGTCTTTCAGAAACAGCCAGTCGTGTTGTTCGGAACAGAAGGAACGTAACATGAACCGAAATCTGGATTCTTTTAACTTGTTCAAAACTCGCATCTGAGGACATGGGAAGTCTGCAAGGCCGAAATGCCCAAAACGCCTTGGAGACAAGCTGGATCTTGTCCGGAGCGATTTTGACAAAGCTACCTTAAGAGCTTTAGCTTCTTTCTTGCGCAACCCTAAACCTAAACCCCCAGACCCTCAACCCTAAATGACCAAACAAAAACTTCGAACATGCCTGCTGCTGAGGTACTGATGATGTCGCAAACCTCCGGGGTGCGAGTGCTGCCTCATTCCATTGGCTTTGCAGAAGTGCCACAGCCCTACAATGAAAGGATCAGGGGGACCTTTTCGGGGGGTTCTAGGGGTTATATGGGGGTAATGTAGGGATACTGGAAAAAATGGAAACTGCCATTTAGGGTTATATGAGGGGCAATGAAGGCTTCCCTAAATTCCCTAAACAGTAGTTTCCCTTCTCTTTTCCAGTATCCCAATACATCCCCTACATAACCCCTGCTATATAAATCCCCCAAATCCTCCTTTAAAAGGAATATAGGGGTTATATAACCTTTCGTGAAAAACCTGCAGCCCGCCCTGCTTTGACGAGCAGCCGGATGCACCGATTGTGATGCACTCCGTCTCATCCTGACGTTGAGCGCAATTTTGCTCTAATTACCGCACCGTTTTGGCAGTCCTGGTTGTAGATCTCCACAACCCTGGTCGCCTTGCCGCTTGTCACGATTCCAGTCTCCACCTCAAGAGCTCACCAACTTCCAACCCGAAGCAATAGCAGGTGCCTGAAACACGGACCAGTGTCCGAAAAAGCATGAGAGAGCATGAGCTATAGACTAAACTCCTAGTATCCCCCTTACTAACCTTTACAGGAGTTCCCTAGATAATCCCCTATACAACCCCCTTGAAGGAGTTTAGATTATAGCTCACATGGTTGCCTATTTGACTTGCCCCGCCTTCTCCACTGGTGGCCTGCGATTGCTCTACTACAGCAGACTTTCTGTGCACTGGTGTTCACTCCCTAAACCCTAAACCCTAAACCCTAAATCCCTTAACCCGTGCCTGTTGGTAACGGGCACAAGCTGATTCTCCATGTGCACCATTTTGTGAAGTCAAGGCGCACGCCCCACAAAAGGAATACCTCCCAAGGCACAGAGAACCATAAGGGAAGTTTCCAGAGATAGGACGGGACCTCTTATAATATCTATCCCAAAAATATCATAGTCCTTGTCAGAAAGTCACCCCAAAAAAAGGACCCCTACATTCTGGAAACCTCCAAATGCGAGTTTCTCCAAATTACGGGTACCATTTTGGGGGTCCCAAGAATCAGGACTATAGTATTTTGGGGTCTATATTGGAGTCACCCTATTTTGGGAAACTATCTTGCTGTATGGTAAATACTGGTTTCCATTTTATTTTCCATTATCCCTATAATCCCTATATAACCCTATAAAACCCTATATGACCCTATATGACCCTATATGAGCCCTATATAGAGGGTAACTACCAAATCAAGCTGCTCAGCAAGGGCTGGTCCCCTGACGCCTGCAGTTACGTCTGGCCCAGGGGCTCCTAGAGCTCTCGCCGAGCTACATCATGAGTTGGAGCCGAAAAGGCTTCCGGGACACCTATAGGAGACTATGATAGGGTTTTGGGGGGGACCTATTAAGGGGTATAATAGAAATTTAGTCCAGGGGTCATATGGGTTTGGGGTTCAGGGGTTCAGGGTTTAGAGTTTAGGGGTTCAGGTTTTTAGGGTTTATGGGTTCAGGGTTTAGGGTTTAGGGTTTAGGGTTTAGGGGTCAAGGGTTCAGGGGTTCAGGGGTTAGGGTTTAGAGCAGGCAAACAGGAATCATGACTGGATGGATCAAGGGTCATTCAGCTGCCACAGATCGTGTAAGAAACCCTGTCTAAACTCCTAGTATACCCCTCAATAAGCCCCATAATACTCCCCTATGTGATCCCTTATATTACCCCCTTTACGGAGTTCAGACCCTAAACCCTAAACTCTATATAACCCCAACATATCATAGTAGCTTCCATATTCTTTTCCACTATCCCTATATTCAATCCCATATAATATTATCATCCCTTATATAACCCCCCGTTAAGGAGTTTAGACTACAGCTCATATGGCAGGCTCTACTTCGCTGGGTCCTAGAATGCTCACGCTCAGAAGTGCAGAGTTCCTTCAAGGTTTAGGGTTTAGTGTTTAGGATTTAGGGTTAGGGGTTCTACGGGGTAGAGGGTTAAGGGTTTAAGGTTTCTAGGCCCAGAACTTCTGGAGGTTTGGAATTCCCAAAAAGCGAGTTTCCATCAATTGGAGCCCACCTTATTATAGTAGGGGGTTCTAGAGGGGGTTAAAACGGGGAGTCCCCTACAATAGTAGGGGGTACTGGAGGGGCTAAAAGAGGGGACTATCATAGAGGTTATTTGACTTTTTAAAGGGGTTTTAAGTATTCCCAGAAAGCCCCAAGTTTTGGCAACCTCGTTCTGATGCCACACACGCTCCCAGGTCCCTGCAAAGTCATGGGCCCAAAATCGTTGGTTTAGGGTTTAGGAATTTAGGGTTTAGGGTTTAAGGTTTCGGGATTTAGATATTTAGGGTTTTTGTTTTTTAATGGGGCCCTTTCTCCTCAGCAAGGGTTTAGGGTTTACAGTTAGCTCGCACACCACAGAGGGACAACAAAAGTTGAATGGCGTGGGCTTCACGCCGATCATAGTCCTGCATAAGTGAGCTATGGACGCGGTAGCTTCCCTGGATAGGGGGAACCCAATACAGACCCCAAAATACTGAGACCCTTATCATAAGGACCCAAAAAAAAGGCACCTCTAATTCAAGGAAACCCTAAACCCTGAACCCTATATAACCCCTATATAACTCCTACATCCTCTTTAAAGGTACCACTAATCGAGGAAACCCCCATGTGTCGTCCTGAACAGTTTAGGGCTTAGGGCTTAGGGTGTCGGGTTCTAGGGGATAGAGGGTTAAGGGTTTAGTAGAGCACTTAAAACCATCCTTCCAGGCACAACCCTGGGTGGGGGGTTTAGGGTTTAGGGTTTAGGGTTTAGGGTTTAGAGTTTAAGGTTTAGGGTTTAGGGTTTAGGGTTTAGGGCAGTACCCAAGCTAAACGCCATTACTTAGGCCCACGGCACCTCTGAGCCACAGCGAACATGTTTTCGTTGTGAAGCGTCTGCACCTCTGCCGAAGGTTTCCGGCAAGGGATATTAGGGTTTAGGGTTTAGGGTCTAGGGTTTAGGGTACATAGGGATTATATGAGCTACTGTCAAAACTCCTAGTATCCCCCTTAAGAACCCCTGTAGTAATCCCTATAGAATCCCCTATATAACCCCCTTCAAGGAGTTTAGACTATAGCTTATATGATAAGGATTCTAAGATCGTCGGGGATGTTGGGCCCCCTTATTCTTGGAAACTGGCCATGTAGTAGTTAATTACTATATTTCTTATCATGGGGACCCCCCAAAACGTACCTCGAATTTTGGGAAACCCCATGTAGCTTTCCAGCAGCTTGCGAGTTCCTTGGCTCAGGCGCTGACTGCCCGCACTGTTTCTTTGACGTGCAGCTCTGTGAAGATGTTCATGGACTCCTTGGCATTTGAAAAACTCCTTGAAGGGGATAAAGGGGCCTACTTATTGAGGGGGGATACTAGGAGTCTAGACTACAGCTCAAGTCAGAGCTTGTAGACCAGGAGGTGTGGTGGGATGGAGATGGCTGCGTGGTATTTGCTCAGTGGATGAAAGCCCAACACTGCTGAGGTCGCGAGAGCACGCCACTTTCTTCTCAGAGCCAGCGCAATGAAGTTGGGAAATGTCTAGCTGTACAACTCGAAAACGGCATTAAAGAACAAAGAAAAACAAAATCTTTGGTAGCTGCTGGTCATCACCAAACGTGTTTCCATCCGCATAGGCGTTGCTGCATCTTTGGCTTCGCCACAATGCAGTGGGTCTTTGGATAGCATGTTGAACGCAAGTGTGACCACAACTGTTGTAAAACGCAAACAGAACCTCGTCTTTGGCATGGAGCGAATGAAAGCTTGAGCACGGAGCTTCCCACAAGGAAATGTCTGAGGATCTCCCCAGGCGTGCACGAGGCTCTATCTTCAGCGTGCGCGTCTCGCACTGTACATGTGAAGCGTCAGAAGTCGCGCTGCAACTGGGCCTACTGTGCGCAAGAAATCGGAGCTTAAGCCCCTTCCTGGGTTTGATGCAGAAGCATCGCTCTCGCATGCGTGCAACATTGACTTGAAACATCTTAAATTCCTCATCCTGGGTGCAGGGCCAACACATCTTATGCATGTACAGCTGTTTGTCCTGCCCAGGCGCATTCCACCGCACGCCTCCTCTTACTCCGAGGCTCACCCTTCCGCTTGTCTGTCTCCTGACCAGTTCAAAGCTCAAACGAGCTCAGAGAAGTCCCTGCCATGGCCATGGACTCACACACGGTAGTTGATCAAATCGCTGCTCCCAAATGGCCATCTATGGATAATGCTGTCCCTCTTTGACTCCGTCATAGATCTACAGGAACACTTAGGCAAATTTCTTCAGAGGACCTTTATTTATAGATCAACCCCCACATCTTGCGCTCACAAGGCCTCTGGCTCTTCTGGCGCATGCGGGCACTTTGCCATGAAGTCCGTAAGCTGACAACATGCAAAGCCCCAACCTCAATAGCAGCAGGAATCCCGGGATATATAGCGGGTATACCAGGCCATATAAGTAGGGGTCCTTTTTGGGGTTCCCAAGGTCCTAAGATCCCTTACAAAGCTGGACATAGATGCAAAAACATCATTTGAGCCCATGGAGCAGACCCTACTCAAGGTTGCAAAGGATTTTTCAACTGAGCCGAGCAGCGCTTCTCCTCTATTGTGTACCAAGAGCCCCATATCTGACCATGGCCGCGTACAGTGACATCCTGGACAAGGAGAATGGGAGCACAAATGGACATCAGGCCGCAACCGCAGTGCTTGGCATCTGGAAATCAAAATGGGCAACATCTTGTCCTCGGGATACCTTGGAATGAAATCATTTAAAACCAAGACAAGCAGCTTGAACACGTTAGTGCTGCAGAAGCTGCTTGGATTTGACCAGGAATTTCGGTTTGCTGCTGCTGCTGGCAGCTTCCTGGGTTGCCGTTAAGGAAGCCAAGTTAAGTTACCAACAAACAGGGAAACCCTATCCTTCACTATACACGCATACCCGCCGAGGCTGGAGGCCTGGGGCGTTTAGATCCAGGTCTGGGGAGCAGGTTAACCCTGCCCCGGCGGGCACGATTTCAGGGAGGTCCAATCGGTTCATTTTTTGGTTTCTGGAGAGGGCAGGGGCGGTTCTGCTGGTAGGCTGGGTTCCGGAAAGGTTGGGGTGTGAAATACACCCCTTAGGCGCGAGAAACACAGATTTGTGGGGGCGCAAAGGGTGGAAAGAATGTGGAAAAGCGAGTGGCCAGGGGGGGGGGCGTGGGGTGCAGTAGCGAGTAAATTATGGCAACCTAAAATCCTTAACCTTAAACCCAAACCCTACACCCTGTATACCGTGCATCTATAATCTTAACTCCTAGCATCCCCCCTGATTCGGCGACAGCTTATGTTATGTTGACTTAATTGCAGTTCCTTAACCCTGAACCCTAAACCC